CGGGCCCGGGCTGGGGATACGAACCTGCCACCTTAGGTGTATGTGGCTGGCGCCTTAGCCACTTGAGCCACAGGCGCCGAGCCATAGGTTCATTTTTTAGATGCTTGCTGGCTTAATGTTTTTCATTAATGCTAGATATATAGCATTACTAGCACTTTTCTAAATTTAGTATTGGAGAGAAGTGAAGTGGTAGGACCTAAAAGCTTGGTGTATTGCTTTAGATATATGAAGTAAGGTCTGATTGTTTTTCTCATATCTTTGGGTTCCTTTCACAGTGTAATTCCCATCATTAATTGGCTCAGCCGGATGCTAGGGAGAGGTACATGGACATTGCATTTTAAGGGGAGGGGTAAAAACGTCTTTCTCTTCCATACCCGTGCTGATATTACTTTCATGCTTTCCTAAGGAGATGACTTTTATTTTCTAATAACAACTAGGAAATGCTTGACCTGGGGGAATGCTTTCTAAGCCATAGGTGATGTAGTGTGTAGAATATAAAACATTTATTGCTGCCTTGTAGGGGTTCTCACATTTCTTCCCGAAGTTTATGAAGGAAAGGAAATAGCCATTTGGAACTCCAAAATGTATTTTTTTGTGGGGTTTGGTAAATATTTCTTGAGGGACCAGTGTTATTAATGATATAATTGCACCAACCTGGGTAAATAGCATAAAGGAGTCATTACTTGCGAGCTCTGTGTCTTGGTCCATAATGTTTCTTGGTGCCTCATTTTTATTTTTGTAAAATATGGATAATAATAGTACCCTTTTTGTAGAGCTGTTGTACTAATTAAATAAGATAATACACGTAAAAGCTTAAGAGCAATTTCTGGCACGTACACAGATAACTCAGTAAGTTACCTATTATTAGTAGTAGGACTAATATTGTCTACTTTGGGTTCATTACAATTTTTTTTTTTGGTGAACTGGTCTAAAAGCCTAATTACTTTTTTTTTTTTTTGCAGTTTTTGGCCAGGCCCACCACCTCCGGTACATGGGGTCAGTGTCCTACTCCTTTGAGCCACAGGCATCGCCTGCCTGATTACTTTTTAAAACCACCAATTTCCAATTTAAAAATCACTCAAACACAGTTTGTTAGTTGGTGACTTCTTTTTTTGAGACAGTCTCACTATGTTGCCACCAGCAGAGTACTGTGGTGTCACAGCTCACAGCAACTGCAAACTCTTGGGCTTAAGTGATTCTCTTGCCTCAGCCTCCCAAGTAGTTGGGACTATAGGTACCTGCCACAATGCTTGGCATTTTTTTTGTTGCAGTTGTCATTGTTGTTTAGCAGGTCCAGGCTGGGTTCAAACCTGCCAGCCTTGCTGTTTGTGGCCAGCACCCTAACCACTGAACAGAGGCACTGAGCTGAGGTTGGTGACTTCTTGTCTAGTAAATGTGATGCTTCTTTACATAGGAAGGCTTAATAAATGATGTATTGTCATAATCGTTTTTGTTAATATCTTTGATAATTATATTTTATGATACGTACATGTAGAAAACTTTTGAAACTACTAATGTTAGTAGCACTGTATTAGACACAGCACTTTACAATTTTAGTTTATAATATTAAATTCCAGACCTAGAATATTTATACAGATACTTTTTTTCCCTTGCAGGCGATGTTTTCAGTAGTGTTAGGAAAATAAGTTTATGGGACTCACCAGTTGTGATGTAATTAAAAAGATAAAATGGATTATTTAATGACGTACATTAAAGTAATTAAAACATTTTTTGTTCCAAGGAAGTTAACAGTAGAGGAAAATTACCGGTTAGAGAAAGAAGAAAAACTTTCCAAAGTAGATGAAAAGATCAGCCATGCAGCTGAAGAGTTGGAGACATACAGGTATTAAAGATATTTTCTACCTTTCTTTTTGGAGTGGGATGTTAATCTAAAAACTGACTATGAAAAAAATGGGAAATCAGTTTAAAAGAAATAACATCTTGGTTATTTTTCATTTAGATTTCTTGCTATTACACAGTTATATAGAAAATATAAAGAGGAAAAATACTTTCCCTTCAGGGCGTGTGATTTTTAAATCTCTCACAGTTGAATATGGACAGTGCTGTTTTATGTTATGAATATAGATGTTTGTTTCAAGGTCTTTTTCTTTCTGTTCAAATTGGGAAGACATTAGAAATGTATACAATATTAATGAATCAATCAGCATGCCGGAGAAGGAAGTGTGAACCGCAGTTAGCATTCTCCAGTTTTTAGAAGACTGTTAGCCTAGTTTTTACCTTGGTTTGATCCTCACTAGATCCAAAGAACCTAGAGAGAAAAGTGGGCAAGATTCAGCTATTCCTGAATAGTTGTGATATCTCATTTTACCTTAAGAAGAGGAAGCTTGGGTTTATCCAAAAGAAGGAATTTTCTGTTAGTTTCAAGGTAATAAGTACCATTTTACTTCACAAATGTTTCTAGTTTTCTAGAATTCTATTAAGATTATAGACATCCAAATAAACCTTCTAGGCTCGATGCCCATAGCACAGTGGTTATGGTGCCAGACACATACTGAGGCTGGCGGGTTCGAACTTGGCCCAGGCCAGCTAAACAACAATGACAACTGCAACGACAACAACAACAACAAAATAGCTGGGCATAGTGGCAGGTGCCTGTTGTCCCAGCTACTTGGGAGGCTGAGGGAAGAGAATTGCTGAAGCCCGAGAGTTTGAGGTTACTGTGAACTGTGACGCCATGGCACTCTACTAAGGGCAACATAGGGAGACTCTGTCTCAAAAAAACCAACAACATAGGTATATCATACAAATCGTTGCATAACTTTTGGTTTAGGTAAACCCAGTAGTAGTACTCTTAAGGTGTAGTTAATGTTGATCAGGAAAAACTATACTTTAGAATCTCTCTGAGGTAATTATATTTCTTTTTGTTTTTTTTTTTAGAGACAGAGTCTCACTTGGTCACTCTCAGTAAAGTGCTGTGGCATCATAGCTCACAGAAACCACCAGCTCTTGGGCTTAGGTGATTCACTTGCCTCAGCCTCCTGAGTAGCTGGGACAACGGTGCCTGCCACAAGGCCCAGCTATTTTTTTGTTTCAGTTTGGCTGGGGCTTGGTTTGAACTTACCACCTTCAGTATATGGGGCCAGCGCCCTA